CTGTTTGCTTAAAACCACTTTGCCTATAGGCCAACTCTTTCTGGAGTTTTGTTTTGTTTTGCTTTTGCAACTGTTTCAGTGTCATTTATATTTCGTTGATTTATAGTCAATTTGCAAGAGGCAGCTTCTACATTAATTTTATTTTTCTGAAAGGTGTTTATCATATTAATGACATTATGCAAATAGTTGGTTCTTGTCTATCTTTTGAAGAACTCAATATTTTTTATGAATTCTTGAACACTTTAAGGACTTTTTGGCCCATCTGTCTGAATACCATTTCTTTAAAAGTTATGCTTTAACTAAAAATGGCTATCAGTGGTACTTAAGACATAACTAAATTATCTGTTATGCCCTGACCCTTACCTTTAATTCAGATTTATCACAGAGTGCATGGAGGTGTTAAAATGGCATTAGTTTCACAAGCACATATTATTTTACCAAATAGGTATTTAAGAAAGATCAATTAAAGAATCAAATATTATAAAATAAAAAATATGGAATTATAGAATTCTCTTGTGAGGATTTGTTCTTCTCTACTAATATTTGTTTGCATTACTCAGAAGATCTGATTCCTTTTTTCCCCTTTCCAGCATTCATTCACAAGCATATATCAAGGGGATAATATCGGAGGCAGGAAAACCTATGCAAATGTTTGTTTCATTGAAAGAGAACAGATTTTCTCAAAGCATTAACACAATCCACTACAGCTTATGGATTTCAACCTATATTTGCTGAATACGAGACTATGATACAGACTAAAGGCAGCCTATTCTTGCTAGGATCTCTCAAGACAGATACCAGAAAGTAGCATAAGCTAGATTTTATTTCCTAAGGAAGTAATCAGACACATGAGCAAAGATGTTGATACAAACATGTTTGTCACAACATGATTTTCAATAGCAAAAAACCCCCTCCCCAAACAGAAAGAAACATAAAGGACCAATAATAGTGGATTGGTATAAATAAATGATGTTACAGCTATACAATGAAATACTACATAGCTATTCAAACTTATGACGTCATTATCCATATTTGGTAGGGAAAAATTTTCTACTATTTTGCTACATGAAAAAAGCGGATTCTGTGATTCACTTTTGTGAAACATTGTCTATGGTTACCTGTATATGTGTGTGGAGGAAAGAGTGTTATCATTGGTTTTCTGATGATGCACTCACAGAGACAAGCATTCATGTTTTCCTCTTTTGCTGATCTGGGTTTTCAGGTTTTTCCACAATGAACATGTAGTCTAAATATCGCCTAAGCAGGCGAGCNCTGGGTTTTCAGGTTTTTCCACAATGAACATGTAGTCTAAATATCGCCTAAGCAGGCGAGCCCCACCTCCAGCATCTCCCACAGGCCTGGCAAAGGCAGGACGGAAGGAAGGAAAGGAAGGGAGGGAGAGAGTGAGGAAGGAAGGAGGGTTGTTCCAATGTCTGCTTTCCTTGAGCTACTGTCTGCACTGACCCCCGTGGGTCTGGAAGCCTCTGAGGTGTGGGAGCTGAGTGTGCGTGAAGAGAGGGAAAGCCCCAAGGAAGTTCTTCAGAATTGCTGGTAGGAAACTGTCTCCAGAAGCTTCCCTCCCCGAGAGAGATAATGAGCAGCAGGTGTTCCTGGAGGCCTAGGGTGGTGTGAAATCACTCTGGGAAACCCTGCTCCTCCCCAGGTTGTGGCAGTTTCAGGGATCCTCCCTGTGCATTACTTAAAAGTCTGAGGCATTTTTGGAGGAGCAGCCAGACACCACAGGCTCCTGCCAGGAGAAGGCAGCATTCTGAGCTGTCCTTGGGAGCACTGGCAGGACTGAGGCTCTCTCCTGACCCTCAACCCAGATTCTCTGCTCTGTGGAGGCTGCTCACGTGCTGGGGGACTCAGGAGGCTGCTTGCTACCCAGGCACCTGCCAGCTGAGCTCTGTTTCCACCTAAGTTTTTCTGTTACTTGTTTCAGAATACGGGAGTCTATACGCCGTGGAGCTCAAGATGGTCCTGAGTGGGGCGCTATGTTTCCGGTGAGTGTATGGGCCTCTGATTTGGTGGTGTCCTCTGGGGAGAAGTGAATTTTGGGTAGACTAGTTGTCCAGTTTTTCGGGCAAGGGAGGAAGAGAGAAGGGAGGACTGCCACTGCCCTGGCTGNGTTGTCCAGTTTTTCGGGCAAGGGAGGAAGAGAGAAGGGAGGACTGCCACTGCCCTGGCTGTGGCTCTCACAGGGGGAGTGGGCAGCCGGGAAGTTGTGACCAGCACCTTAATACCCTTAGAGAAGTTCTTCTAGCCTTTTGCAGATTGGGGCAGGACTGGGGCAGGCCACCTCTGGAGGGTTCCATGATGGTACGGGAGTCTATACGCCGTGGAGCTCAAGATGGTCCTGAGTGGGGCGCTATGTTTCCGGTGAGTGTATGGGCCTCTGATTTGGTGGTGTCCTCTGGGGAGAAGTGAATTTTGGGTAGACTAGTTGTCCAGTTTTTCGGGCAAGGGAGGAAGAGAGAAGGGAGGACTGCCACTGCCCTGGCTGGGGCTCTCACAGGGGGAGTGGGCAGCCGGGAAGTTGTGACCAGCACCTTAATGCCCTTAGAGAAGTTCTTCTAGCCTTTTGCAGATTGGGGCAGGACTGGGGCAGGCCACCTCTGGAGGGTTCCATGATGGTAAGGGGGACAAGTGAGTCACCCAGCCTGGAGCTGCATCCTCCAGTGAGGATGGGAGAGAATGGGAGTCAGGAGACCTGGCATAGAGCCCTGCTGCCACCCCCACCATGATGGGATGTCAGCCCACCACTCTGTGCCACTGCCTCCTCACTGTCCTTTGGGGGAAAATAAAACAAAAGCCACTGTTCAGTCAGTCAGTCCATCCACCAGCATGTACTAAGCCAGGCACTCTGCTATGCTCTGCACGCTACAGCAGCAGATGAGAAAGCCCCTTTCTCTCACTGAACTCAGAGTCTGGAATAGCATTTGCTAAAGTGTGTTCTGTGGGCTCCAATCCCATGAGATGCTTTCTACAGTGGAGCTCTTTGATCAAGTGAATGTGGGAAATGCTGCTTTCTGTGTCCCTTTATAAGAGAACAAGCACAACTCAGCATATTAGTGTCTTTGCAGCTTTCTCAAGTAATGCAAATTGTTTAATCATGTTTGGCCAAACACTAGACTAATTTTTATGCTGCATACATTTTCCCTGTATAACATCTGGAGAAACCCAGTTTAGGGTACATCTTTCATCTCATGGGACGTCAGAAAATCAATTGACATCACAGATGAGAAATAACATTGGAAAGTAAAGCATTAAGAATTTTAAATTTAAAGAAATTCCTTACTTAGTAGGGAATATAAAATCAAGTGGAAGCAAATATACCAGGATGTCTCCAATAGTAACTACAGAATCAGATTTTAATATGGGAAGAGGACTGAGTGTTGTCTGACCCGTCATCTTATGTTGGCAATGGGGAGGCTTAGGCCCAGAGAGGGTGAGAGCATTGTCTGTGTGACTCAGCAGCAGCCGGGATGAGACCCGGGGCTCAGACTCACAACCAGTTTCTCTCCCCGCAAAGCACATGAAGGAGATGGTTGGAGTAGAAAAGGTTGAATAGTCTCAGATGGGGAGTTGTGGGTTGTCCCACTGGTAGGGCTTAGGGCCAGCAGGGCCAGAGAGGGTGAGAGCATTGTCTGTGTGACTCAGCAGCAGCCGGGATGAGACCCGGGGCTCTGACTCACAACCAGTTTCTCTCCCCGCAGAGCACATGAAGGAGATGGTTGGAGTAGAAGAGGTTGAATAGTCTCAGATGGGGAGTTGTGGGTTGTCCCACTGGTAGGGCTTAGGGCCAGCAGGTCTGGGAGAGAAGGTTGTGTTATTGCTTTAGGCACAGCGGGAGGGGAGGAGACAAAATGCCTGAGATTGGGGATGCCCTGGAACCAGGGCAAGCTGAGGTGCACCCCCCTCCTCTAACAGTGTCTCATCCCTTCCTGGTGTTTCAGAATGAAGGATTCAGCTTTGAAGGTGCTCTATCTGCATGAAAACCAGCTTCTAGCTGGAGGGCTGCATGCGGGGAAGATCATTAAAGGTTGGTGGCAAAGCATGACTGACTTTCCTGAGTCTCTACACACTCTGAGGGGGGCCTGAAGAGGGCTTACAACAACAGTCATGCACATTGCATAGGTCCACAGACCCCAAGCCTGATGCATTAAACCAAGCTCTGAGTGAGGACAAAAAAACACTACACCTTCCAGCGAAGTGAGATCCCAGGCCCTGGTGCCACCTGAAGCCTCTCTGCAGAGGTGGGGATATTTTCCAAGACAAGTGGTTTGTCATTCCCTCACAGGTAGATGTAGGTCAAATAGTCCACTTCCCTGAGAGCCAGGCTGAGGAGAGAACGAAAGCAGGTTCCCTATGCCTGTGTCCCATACGGGAGTGGGTTTCTGCCTCTCCACCCTGGGTCCCCTCTGATCTTTGAGGGTCCTCGGTCAGAGAAGTTGGACCTAGAGAACAGGTGGCACCATCTGACCTTGTCCTTATTCAGTCTGCCCCACACACTGTGACAGGTCCTTCTGTCTAAAACAGTACCCACCTGCCCACTTGGAACACCCTTACTGGGCACAGATGCCAGGCAGATCCCTCTGCTAGGCTGTGTGTGTGTGCATGTGTGTATGTGTACAGGTATGTATGTGTGAGCACTGCATGTGTATGTGTGTGTATATGTCGTGCATACGTATGTGTATGTCTTATGGTTATGTGTGTCTCGTGTGCACGTGTGTGCATGTGTATGCATGCGTGTGTCTGTGCATGTGTGTATGTGTGCAATGTGCATGTATAGTCAAGCATGTGTATGGGTGTGTGGGGGTGGCGGAGGGATGTACAGAGAGGACTGAGACCCTCTTATGCTCTCAGGAGTCTCATAGTAGGTAAAAAATGTCTAAACAATTCTGATGGCAGGCTCACTTTCAGAAAAGAGGACTGAGAGCTAAAAGGCATTAAGGGAGGTGGTTGAATCTACATTGAGGTTTAGAGAAGACTTGAAGATTTGACCCTGAACATGGGGGATGGGGGTGGTACAATGTGCTCCTGCCTTGATGTCCACTCTGTGCCAGTTGGCAGGAGACCAGCCTTTTCCATGCGATAGCCACTACAAAGCTTCCTTTCTGCCCAGCCAGGGGGCAGGATGTTCACACTGTTCCTGCTCCCTGGAGTCCAGGGGAAGAGGGAAAGAAAGGACAGCCAAGGCCTGTACATCTGGCCTCTTTCCTGTAGGTGAGGAGATCAGCGTTGTCCCCAATCGGTGGCTGGATGCCAGGCTATCTCCAGTCATCCTGGGCATCCAGGGAGGGAGCAAATGCCTGTCGTGTGGGACGGAGCAGGAACCGACTCTGAAGCTAGAGGTGAGTCCTGTTGGGTCATTGTTTCCCCATGCAAGGTTCTGTGGATGGCAGCTCTGCCTCCTGCCCTCGCCCAGCCCAGCCCTCTCCCACCCCCGCTGCTGCCCCTCACCCACCATGCCCCTCTCCCCTACTACTGGCAGCCAGTGAACATCATGGAGCTCTACTTCGGTGCCAAGGAATCCAAGAACTTCACCTTCTACCGGCGGGACATGGGGCTCACCTCCCGTTTTGAGTCAGCCGCCTACCCAGGCTGGTTCCTCTGCACCATGCCTGAAGCGGACCAGCCTGTCCAGCTCACCCAGCTTCAGGAGGACACTGGCTCAGATGCCCCCATCACGGACTTCTACTTCCAGCAGTGTGACTAGGGCAACGTGCCCCCCAGAACTCCCTGAGCAGAGCCAGCTCGGGAAGGGGGCGGTGATGGAGGAGGAGACTCGTGGAGGGTGACCGCCCCCTCTGCTCTCGGGGCCCCCACTTCTGACTTACTGGGCACATGGCCACTCTCTCTCTTCTCCTGGTTCCCAGTTTGGATAAATTATTTTGAGATTTGGGGCTCAATCCAGTTTCCTTCCCCATTGGTTGGTGCCACTGGTGTGGACTCTTGTAAAAAACTGCATGGGATAAACTGGGAGTAACATAAAAAGATTCCTATGGGGGTGGAGTGGGGGAGTAGGAATCATTCATGCTTGATGGTAACTGACCAGTGCCCTGGCCCCACAGGCCAGCCTGTCCCCAACTGAGTGCTGTAGGGCCACCAGCTACCCACATGAGGTCCTGACATTCACCACTGTGCCAGAGAGGGAGGTGGTCATGGATCAGGGACCTCAGGTCCTCGGCCCAGCCCGCGCCCCCTTCCCTTGAATCCTGCCACCACCACATGCTCCTTTGCCATCTCTACCCTTGACCTCTAGTTGAGGGAGTGAGGATGTGGAGGTGTCAGAGGAGATGGTGCCACCTCAGAAGACAGAAGATGGCAGGGCATGCCACTCCTTGTAGAAACCCAAGATACAGTTCAAATTCCAGATGCTGGTCTCTATTTACATGGAAAGATGCTCATGGCGTATTAAGTGAGAAGAGTAAGTTACAAAGTAGCATACCTTGTAATTTCACTTTGTTTTTTTTTTTTAAAAATACCTGTCTATATATTTAGAGAGGTCTGAAAGAGTTTACTTCAATTGTAGGAATGTCAGGGTGGTGGCAATATAGGTGATTTTTTTTTGTTCTTTTCACTTAACTGTATTTCCTGTTTTTTTCTACAATGAAGATGGATTATTTGTGTAATTATAAGAAAAGAAATTAATGTTGAGGTAAGCAGAGCAGACATCATTTCTGACTGTCCTTGGCCTCTGCTTCCCCAGAGTGAAATTCAAGTTGAGTTGAGCTCTGCTGCTCTGGTCAGTAGCAGCAGGATCAGGAAACAGACCTCAGCAAAGCCACAAGGTGGAGGGTGCGGTGGGTTTGTGTGGCTGGAATCTCCCAGGTAAGGAATTTACAGAAACAAAATTATCCTGTACTTCTTTCCTGGAATGGTCACAGCCCCTGGGGTTCCAAGCCCTCTAAGAGGGTGGCTGTACTGGTTGAATAGGGTCCCCTGAAAATTCACATCCTTTCTGGAACCTCAGACTATGTCCTTATTTGGAGATAGGGTCTTTGTAAATGCATTTAATTAAGACAAGGTCTTGCTGCATTACGGTGGACCTAAGTCCAATGTAACTGGTGTCCATGTAAGAAGAGGAGAGGACACAGAGGCACAGAGGAGACACAGGGAAGGAGGCCATGTGAAGACAGAGGCAGAGACTGGAGTGACACTACCACAAGCCAGGGACCACCAGGGGTTGTGGGAAGCACCAGAAGCTAGAGAGAGAAAAGGAAGGATTCTACCCTAGAACCTTTAGCAGCGTCATGGTCCCACTGATACTTTGATTTCAGACTTTTAGCCTTCTGAGCTGAGACAATAAATTTCTGTTGTTTTAAGCCACCAAGTCTGTGGTAATTGGTTATAGCAGCTCTGGGAAACTAATACAGCTGCTGAAGATCCCCGTCTCCTGTATTCACATCCCGTGTGTGTCCACTCCCACACTATACCAGAGTTGTCTCTGTGACCAACAGAATATTGCAGAAGCTGGTATGCCATGTCTGAGATTAGGTTATAAAAGACACTGTGGCTTCTACTTGAGTGTGCTGTCTCCTCTCTGTCTCTGTCTCTGTCTCTGTCTCCCTCCCTCTCTCCACTTTATGACTCACTTGCTCTGGGGGAAGCCAGCTGCCGTGCTACGAGCAGCCCTACAGAGACTCCTGGGGTGAAAAATGAAATCCCCTGCTAACAGCCACATAAGTGAGCTTGGAAGCAGGTCCTCTCGCCCTGTCAGGCCCTCAGGTGACTGTGGCCCAGCTCACAGCTTGATTGCAGCTCAGTGAGATACTGAGGCAGAACCACCCAGCTGAGCTGCTTCAGATCCCTTCCCCTCAGAAACTCTGTGGGATAATCCATGTGTGTTGTTCTAAGTTGCCATGTCTTGGGTAACTTATTATGCAGCAATAGATAACTAATATGCAGGGAAATAAAAATAAATGCTTTTATCTTATTATGATTGCAAGTTTCTCCAATATTTTTATTTTCCTTCTCAAGATAAACAATGACCCTTTTATTTACTCAGATGTTCTATTTAAAAATGTACTAAATTTGTTGAATATTCTGTTTCCGTAAGGTTTAGGTCTTCCTTGACTACCTTTGAACCTCTAGTCATATGTGCCAGGGACTGTCTCTTGTGTCCCTAACTAAACCCTGGAGGATGAGAGCAGAAGCCAGAGGAGGGGCCCATATCTGTGCCCCAGGTATTCCACCTGCACCTCACCTGTCAGACCAGCCTGGCAGGTTTGGAGTCTGCTGCGGATTAGCAAGGAGGTGGCCAGGACAGAAGAGGCTGCCTCCCTGGGTCTTAGCAGCTCCAGCCCTGATGTAGCTGAAATTCTGGAACAGGCAGCCCAGCTCTTATCACAGCCCTTTCAGGGCTGCCGAGTACCCTGGCTCCAGGCACCAAGCTGTGTTTCCGCGGCCCTGTTCACACTCTCTCTGTGGGCCAGACATAGCCTCATGTTGCTCCCTCAGCTTTGGGGATCTTCACTCGCCCTCTCTGCCTAGAGAAATCTCTCATCTTCTAATTCCCTGATAAGACCTCACCTCCTCCAAGAAGCTTTTGCTGAGCTGAGATCCCTGGCCCTCTGCTCTGGGGAAGCTTTGTGCACGCCTCCTGTGTTGTAGTAAGCTGGCTTGGAGTCTGTGGTCCCTGGGATGACCTCAAGGTCAGAGTGGCATCAGTTTGTCTCTGAGCACCTAGCATAATGCACGGCAAAGAACTGGAGCCCAGTGAGTGTACAGAATGTGCAAACTAGTTCTCCATCCTGAAATATTCTTTCCCTATCCTCCACAAATCTAAACAGGTCCACCCTTAAGGGAACAGCAGCTCAAATTTCACCTCATTCTTGAAGCTTTTTCCACCCTTCAGTGATTACTTCATCATTTGTGGGATGACGGGGTTTTAGCAAGGATGACACGCAGTAGTAAAGGCAACAACATAAAATGCTAACTTCAGGAATGCGTGGGCTGGGGAACCATGGCATCACGACTGTTCAAGTGAAAGACTTAGTGTTAGATTTCTACAACTTCAGGATAAGCCACCAGCCTGGGCCTGTATTTACAGAGGTCCCATGTGTGCCCATATCATGTGGGGTTGTGCCAGTTGTAGAGGCTGAGGAACAGAGAAGGTCCCAAGACCAGTTCATAAGAAAAGAGGCTAAGGTGCTGAGGGTCTTTATCTGAAGAAGCAATACACAGGGAACCCCCTTCAAGCACTTGAAGGCCTTCCAAGTAGAATACACATGTTTGGGCCGGCCCGGTGGCGCACTGCTACAGTGCGCCGCTTGGGAAGCACGGCGGCGCTCCCGCCGAGGGTGCGGA